TCCCCACAAGAAATCCTTCTATTCATATGCAACCCAGTAAAGTGTCCTTATTTTTCTAAGGATGCATGTAACTAGTTGTGTGTGCATGTCCGCGTGCATGCATATTAAAATATAAACTAATTTGTGTGTGCATCCGCACCAGCTACCTCGGCAGGTCTCGGCGTCGAGCTCCGTATGTTTTATACGTTTTAGATGTATGTTTTATATGGATGTTGTATATGTTTTATCTAGATATTGTAAAGTAGATCTGATGTTGCAATGGCTATACACGTATGTTGCAAGTGTATGTTCCTAAAATTTTAGCTGTTTCAACGTATGTTACAAGTATTTTATTTGATGTTGCATATGTTACAGTGGCTATACACATATGTTGTAAGAGTATGTTCTAAATGTTTTATCTGTTTTTTAGACAAATATTGCAGCAAATGTTTCATGTTGCAATCGTTTGTGAATCGGGAAGCTAGCGCAGGCGCAGGCGGTCCTGTAGGTGCAGGCAGTCCCCGGCCCGCGGGCACGCGGGCACAGCAGCACCAGCAGTCACGGGGCGTAGCAGCACACGGGCACTTTCTTTCTGTTCAGCATTTCTTCCTCCTGATTGGATAACAGGTTTTAGGCTTCAAAAACTCTGGTACGTACGTACAGTGCTAAATAAATTATAGGAGAGTGGAGGATTAAAGAAAAGGCGCAGCAGCCAACGCGGTTGTCCGGGCGCTCGTCAAGATCCGGGCGCTAGCCTAACTGTTTGAGAAATGGAATTGGATTAAAAAGAAAAAAACGACATAAACAAAGTAGAAACGGGCACAGAATTAGATAATCATAAAAAACGACTACTTTTAGAGAAACGGAATTGGATTAAAGAAAAAAAACGACATAATTAAAGTAAAAACGGACACAGAATTAGAGAATCAGAAAAAACGACTGAAGCTAAGTAAAAACAATCGAGTGGGTTCGGGCCAAAAACAAAGCCAAGATCATCAATCTCTTTTCTTCACATTCGTATTTCATTTGGTCTGTGGTCTGTTAACACATGCGTGTGGATTTTCTTTTCTTTCAACCCGTGTTGTGTCCGATTTTCTAATGGCTTAGAAACAGTTTTTCTCATCCGATTTCCACCATCCTCGTAAGTAGGGAGGGTAGACAAGTAGGATAGGTTGGAATCCCTATGGGAAAGAATTGACCTCATCCCTTCGTCTAATAGGAAAATTCCCGTGGAGAATCGAGATCGTAGGCCCAATCGGCATCTTTACCTTTGTTTTCCCTCTTACACATGTCTAGTTATCTAAATTCTTGCCTCCTTTTCCCCTTCTCTAAAATGGTTTTTCTATTAAAGAGCTCTTCTGAAGATCTCTATAATTCTATAAGGAACTACTAGCTTTCAACTTTACGGTCTTTTCTTGCCTTAGAATGGTTAAGATAGGTTTTCACCAAGATCCACAAAAGTATTTCTGACATTTGACAGGACCTTGGACGTGTTTTCTTATATATATATATATATATATATATATATATATATATATATATATATATATATATATATATATATATATATATATATATATATATATATATATATATATATATATATATATATATAACTAATATTAAAGAGGTAAAATTTATCTCCATCTATTTTTTCGTCCGGCCCTTTCTTAACTAACTTTGTGAATGTTGAAATAATCCGAGATACATCTACACTTCTACTATTTTATTACATGAATATATGTGGTTTCTTAAGATAACTTGAATAGGAATCCTAATCCAAATAGACTCCTTCAGTCATACGAGGCTTCTTGCCTAGAATAGCATGATCGAATAGGAATCCTACTCGAAATAGAAATAGAAAAGGAAATAAAAGTAGAAAGTAAGCAAATATAAAATAGACAATGCTATTTTTTGATGATCACGGGAATTGATCTTCGTCATCGCGTGCATCAGCTCATGGTTCAACTTTTGCGACCAGTTCCACACCTGTTAATTAAGAGCAAAAAAACAATTCTTCATCTTCTGTTGTCCGTCTAATTCGACTCTGATGATTTTCCCCTTTGTATTTTTCTAAGGCTACATGGATGATTTTCTCTGAGTGTTAATAACTTATGTCGTCCTTTGTTTCATCTGGGCAGAATCCTGAACGGACTCACGTACGATTTACTCTCTCACCATGCCATTTTTCCGATCGAACTCATGTTCATTTTACTCTCCCATTGTTGTTTTCCATCAAGGCCGATTTTTTATTTTGTTTCCTACGGTCATACATGCTAATTTTTCAGTTTTGTTTTTCATGATTTTCTGAACCATTTTTATCTCGTTCCAACAAAAATAATAAGTGTCAAAAACAAAGACCTTGACTCTTTCCTAAGAAGCAAAGATTCCTATCAATTGAGTTAGTGATGTATTTTTAACTAATTAGGAATAAAACTTTTCATAGTGAAACTTGGTTCAGTGGATGGTCCAACTTATCAAATAGCGAGTTAAGGTCTTATAATATTTGTTGTCCAATCCAGACTAAATAAATTTATCTCTATGCAACGCAATATCCAAAATAGTCACCACATATAAAGAAAGACCAATTCTTGATCTCGTCGATAAATAGCTAACTTGATACGAAGTTAGAACAACTCGCATCTAACGATGATACGGAGTCCTATTACTATACGTGTTGACTCCGCTTTACAGCACGGGCATATTTTGCTAGTATATATAATATGCGCTTTTGCTAGTATGTTTCGCTTCGCTTTGTCTTGATCTTCGACTTAAGACTAGTTATTAGTAGGAGGCTTTCAAGTTTTCCTTTTATATATAACTAATAAAAGGAAAAAATATTGTCTTATAGCCATACTATTTCAAATGATCTAATAATGTTTTTCTCTCACAACGAATCAAATGAAAGTACTTTCTTTTTTTCAGCAAAACAAACGGGCCATGTACCAACCTTATCACTAATAGAGCCCAAACGCTGGCCCACGAAGCGTTGCTCCGCCCACCTTATTGCTAGAGCGTAGAGCCCAGCACTCTGGACGGTCCAACTGCAAACGCCGGCCCAGCTACCTACCTTCGCCGCCGTCCTGCCTCATGCGCCTGGGAGACCGCCATGGCCAGGCTCGTGGCCTCTCGCATCCTCCGCTGGCGCCGCCGCCGCCGCCGCTGACTGCTGACCACCCTGCCGTCCCTGAACCCCGCCACCTCTCCCTCCCCCTGGTGCAATCTCCGGCTCTTCCTCCCTGTCCCCTCTCTCTGTCGCTGAAATGAGGTAAAAAAAAAAAACTGAACCGATATATCGATCCTGCTCGATTGAATCCTGTGGAAGAAAGGGTAGTTTGGTTGGATGCTCCCACGACTCACCCTCACTTACAGAGGTTCTCTGCAGGTGCAGCTGCAGGAACACTGGAGCACATCGCGGCATTGAGGTTTTGCCTCCTCATCTCTCACCAGTCACTCACTTCTGATGAACTGTAGGAACTGGTACGCTTCTTTTGTATACAATATACTAGTAGTATTTTCATTTTTCTAGACCTGACAAGGTTAATAGGTTATCCACTTGTTTTTTGTCCCAAATTGAATGTCACAAGTTAAACCCGGTGCCATTTACAATTCGAACTGCCCACGCTCTGATTCAGTGGACTCAAACTACGCTAATCATTGAACTGAATCCTGTGAGGTGGACTCTAAATTCTGGTAAGAACTTGAAACAAGGGGCAACGTAGGTCTGTATTCAGATTACTAACTATACACGCATCGACAGCTTGAAACAAGGGGCAACGTAGGTCTGTATTCAGATTACTAACTATACACGCATCGACAGCTTGAAACAAGGGGCAACGTAGGTCTGCATTCAGATTACTAACTATACACGCATGGAAAGCTTGAAACAAGGGGCAAGGTAGGTCAACATGATGATGTCCTTTCGTCAGCTCAAGATTTCTGGTGGAAGTAATTCGGGTAGTTAGTTTCATGTCATGATGATGACTTAATTTTCTGGGCATCTCGGCCACAGTAGGTATGTGCCAAGTAACGAACACGAAGCTCTGCATCGGCTCATCCTAAACAGAAATCTTTGCATAAGAAGGCTTGAATGAGTTCATGCCGGAGGCTGCTGTGTCAGCTCTGGTTGCTGTCCTGTAGTTACAATGCTTTAGTTCTCCTTGTATTGCTTCGTTCATGTAACCCTTGGTCACTTTACATTTTCAATATTACTTGTTTAGCTGTACTATCATATACTTTAATGCTTCTGTATGCATATACCCATTCGCTTTCACTCTCAAGATGCAAATGTATAGTGGATTTGGAAGCTTGAGTTTATTAATTAGGAGGATTAGTTTTTTCTCAAAGAAGGGCGGGCCTGGTGCAAGCAGTAGAGTCTTACCGCCTGTGACCGGAAGGTCCCGGGTTCAAGTCGCGGTCTCCTCGCATTGCACAGGCGAGGGTAAGGCTTGCCACTGACACCCTTCCCCAGACACCGCACAGAGCGGGAGCTCTCTGCACTGGGTACGCCATTTTTTTTAGTTTTTTCTCAAAGGAACTGCTCACTCTGAAGTTTAGAGAAGGGTTTTTTCATATTTGGATTCCTAGAAGTTTTTCCCCCTTTAATAAAAATTTATAGATTACCACCATGAAGAAAATTTAGAGACATAAAGTAGGCTTTCCAATATTTCAGAACTTTCAAAACATAAATTCCAATTGGCCTCTACAAGGTGTGGCTAGTGTCTATTCTTTCTATTATTATGGAACATGTGTTCTGAATGTCTTTTAACAAATAGCTTAGAATCTAGAGGACCAGTAAATGAATAAAAATAAAAGTAATGCAGCATGATTAGTAGCGTCTCCAGCAAAAACACTGTAACCTTGTGAGGCTGCTATTTTTGGGACAACTCAACCACTCTTTTGCTCCTTTTTGTCCAATTCTCCAGGCAACCTCACCCACAGATTCCTTTAATACTCCCTCTTCCATGATTTCATGATCATTTTCCATGGTCCCTAACTGCTTACTGCCTAGGATGCTGAGAATGCCAATGCGTTCTGTTTCCATCTATGCCATCCTTTTGTTTCTTTCATGTTCATTCAGCTCGATGCATCTATGTGCATCCCGCAACAGCCTTGTCCCCGGCAAGCCGCTCTCCCCAGGTAACACTCTTGTGTCCGATGATGGCACCTTTGCCCTGGGCTTCTTCTCCCCATCCAAATCCACCAAAAAACACTATTACCTTAGTATATGGTACAACAACATCCCGCAGCGCACCGTTGTGTGGGTTGCCAACCGTGCTGCACCAATCAGTGATCTTTTGTCTGCAATGCTCGCCTTGCACAGTAGCACAAACCTTGTCCTGTCTGATGCCAATGGCCGTGTCCTTTGGAATTCAAACAACAGCATTGCCATCAGTGCTTCACCTGCCACCACCGTCTCTGCAGAAGCCACACTAGAGAACACCGGAAACTTCATCCTCTTGAGCAACGTTAACCGCACCACACTATGGCAGAGCTTCGACCATCCCTCTGATACTCTTCTGCCTGGGATGAAACTCAGGATCAGCCACAAGATGCATCCAATACAACACCTCATTTCTTGGAATGGCCTGCAGGACCCATCCCCTGGGGTCTTCTATGGTGCAGACCCCAACAGCATTCAGCAGCAGTTCATCTGGAATGGCACAAGACCGCACCGTCGAAGCCCAGTGTGGACTAGCTATTTCCTTCTTGGGGGCTACATGGACAACCTTCATTCTACCATTTACATGGCGGTACATTGTGGCACCGATGATGACGTATACATGTCCATCAGCATGCCGATTGACAGCTTGTCTTTTCTGATTAGAATGGAGATAAATTACTCAGGCAATGTAAATATTCTAAGCTGGGACAGTAACATGTCAGTATGGACAAGCTTGTACATACAGCCTGCACATAAGTGCAATGAGTATGATTACTGTGGTCCTTATGGTTACTGTGACAACAATGGAACTGCCCCAACATGCAAGTGCCTTGATGGTTTTGAGCCAAATGATGATGAAGGATGGGTCAGCACAGGGATGTCGCCAGAAGACGGCAACTAAGATGTGGTGGACATGGTTAATTGACCTTGCCACACATGAAGGTCCCTGATCATTTCATCTTCCTCCGAACAGAAGCTTTCATGAGTGTGCAGCTGAATGCTGGAGCAACTGCTCCTGTGTGGCATATGCTCATGCCAACATGAGCACCAAAGGCATCAATGGTGATGACACAAGGTGCTTGATATGGACTGGGAAGATGATTGACATGGAGAGGTATAGCCAAGGAGGGGAGACCCTCTATATTCGGATCGACAAATCAAGCGGTATGATTTATTGCTATTAATTGTATGTTTATCTTCCTAGATAGGTTTTTGAACTCTTCCTGGTAAAGTGAAGAGCGATCTATATTTGTGAAGCATTAAACTAAAGGAGGTGTTGCATGAGAAATACTCGACATATAGTCTGTGGAATGGAAAGAATTTGTTGATTCTCCATGAATTAGTTTTTTGCAGGTGACATGACAAAGACCAAAACCCTAGAAATTGCACTGCCAGCTGTGACAAGTTTCCTTGTATTCATATGCATAGGGGTTATTTGTACCTACTGGTTTAGAGGTAGACAAGAGAAATATTTTCTTCCCTTTTTATTTTCTTTCTCTAGTTCTTGCAAACTGGAGAAACTGTATCAAATTCCCTGTGTTCCTTTCAGACAAACAAGGAAGTACAGACATCCGGAATAGACTGATGCTAGGAGATATGAGCACTGCTAATGAAGTTGCTGGTGAAAGTGTAGAATTGTCATTATATAGCTTCAGAGAAATTTCCACTGCAACAAATAATTTCGCTGATTCCACCATACTTGGACAAGGAGGATTTGGTACTGTTTACAAGGTAAGCAAGGCTTGTGCTGGTAACCTTCGGTGGTTGGAGTGTAATTTCTAACGTTCCAGAACCTTTCATGTATTCAGGGAACATTGGGAGATAAGGAAATCGCTGTGAAAAGGCTTTGCAAAGATTCTGCCCAAGGGGCAGTAGAATTCAAAAATGAACTAGCTCTGATTGCCAGGTTGCAGCACAGAAACTTAGTTAAACTTCTAGGTCACTGCCTTCATGCAAATGAAAAACTATTGATTTACGAATACCTTCCTAACAAAAGTTTGCATGTCTTCCTGTTCAGTACATTCTCTTCACTTCTTGCAAAAGCTCAACATTTGATGAAAGAAACATGCACCACTGATAAGAACTTCATTTGATTCTACCCTTGACAGGTGCTGCAAGAAAATCACTGCTTGACTGGCCCACAAGATTCATGATAAGAACTTTATTTGATTCTACCCTTGACAGGTGCTGCAAGAAAATCACTGCTTGACTGGCCTTGTTTATCTCCACCAAGACTCAAGATTGACAGTGATTCATAGAGATCTCAAAGCAGGCAATGTGTTGTTGGATGCTGAAATGAACCCCAAAATATCTGACTTTGGTGTAGCCAGGAGTTTCAGTGTCAACGAACAACAATCAAGTACCACTCGGGTCGTTGGAACATTGTGAGTGATTTCATACGTGAAGTAATTTTGAAGCAACACACCATTGTTCTTGAACTAATTAGTTAAAATTGTGATGTGTGCTCATCTTCCAAAAAGTGGCTACATGGCACCAGAATATGCATTGGAAGGCATCATTTCTGTCAAATCTGATGTTTATAGCTTTGGTGCCATGCTTCTGGAGATTGTGAGTGGCTCAAAGGTCAGCTCGACAGGCCCAGTCACAGGCTCATCCAACCTTATAGCTTACATAAGTACTTTCAGGTTCTCAAAAGTTAAAACTTGACCCATATGAAATGCAAGCCTTGACGTGATCATTGACTCAGGCATGGAGATTATGGAAGGATGGAAACATGCAGAACTTGGTTGATCCATCGATTGTTGAGAGCTGTTCACTTGGCGAAAGTCTGCGATGTATCCACATCGGACTCCTGTTGGTGCAAGACAACCCAAATGCTGGTCCACTAATGCCATGGGTGGTCTCGAGCCTCGATAACGAAGGCATAGAGCTCCCACAGCCTAGGGAGCCTGTATACTTTGCAAGGAGGCATTCTGAAACTGGTGGAGCAGGAGCAGGACAAAGCAACATAAGTGATATGAGCCTCGGAACACTGGAGGGGCGCTAGAGGTGATCACGTATTTCCTCCGCAGATTTCAGCGCTTTGTACAACCATATCGAATAGAAACCAACACTGCTTCGTCTGAACAACTGTGTTACAAGGGTAATGCATCGCCTTTCAGCTGCAGTAGAGAATAACTGGAGAAAAATAAACACCTCACCATCCCTAGGGTTGAGTCACCCTTCATACAACTGTGTTACAAGTTAAGTCAAGTACAGCATATGCATCTGAAATTGTAACTATCCGTGTCCGGGTAGTATGTACCTCGGACAAGGTAAACTCGGCGTGTCTTGATGCCAGGCCATTTCTCGACATGTCTAGCTAAATGTTATCTACTCATGTTGTCCTGGCTGCTCTCATGTATTCCATCCCAGGTATCCTTTCTGCTCGTCCTCTACAAATTTCGTAATCCGGTGCCTAAATTTGACCTGCTGTTAACATGTCACGTCTCAACTCTCAGGATTAGTTGTAGCATGAACCCTGCACAGTGGCACTGGAGTAAGGGGTTAGGGAGGACTCAAAATGTCAACGGGGAATTCTCCGTCGGGGGTCACTGCCCTGTCCCCGCAGGGGCAAATTTCCCCCATCCCTGTCCCCGTGAAGGCTCGTGGGGAGCACTTCTTCCCCATCCCCGTCCCCGCTCGGGGATTTAATCCCCGCATCAACCGCACATAGAAAAGACTTGGTACCGTGTCCGTTAGCGAGCGACAAGAGCGAGAGGGACGGGGAGGGCGGAGCCACTAGAATCTTCGACCAGACGGAGGGGCGCCGCCGCCCCCATTGCCTGGGAAGCTAGGCGAGCACGCTGCCGTCGCGAGGGAGGAGTTGGGGGTCGCCGTACCAGGGACAATGCCTCAGGTGGCGCCGAGGAGGGCGTCGCCGCCCCCCAATCGCCTTGGGAGCTGGGTGGGCACACGGTCGTCGCCAGCCATGGAGAGATCTGATCGTGTGGAGGAACACGCTGCTGCCGGTCACACGGAGGAGGTCGAAGCTGTGGATTTGCACCACCACATCACGACCATCTCCACCACCACCATCAGATCCACGGCGGTAGGTGAGGAGGGCGCCGCCCGTCTCGGAGGAGGGCGCCGCCGGTTGGATCTGCCATGGGCTTCAAGAGTGGAGGAGGTGGGGCGCCGTCGCGGTCGCCGCCGCCACCGGATGGAGGGGAGAGGCCGCCGCCGCCGGCATCGGGTGGAGACAAGGGGCTCTACCTCCATGGTTGTTGCTTGGGTGTGGTGTGTGAGGCAATGCAAGGGGCGACAGGGAGGGATTGGGAATTTGGGAACGAATGGAAAGGATAAGGGTAGGGTTACAAATTGCCTTATATATGTACATAGGAATTGGGCCTTAAACATTTCGGTCCCTCAGAAACGGGGACGGGGCATGTATACCATCCCGCCCCGTCATACCCCGATGGGGATGACTTTTTCCCGTTTAATTCTCCATGGGGAGAAGATTTATACCATCCCCGTCCCCTAATGGGTGAATTCCCCGCGGGGAATCGGGGAATGGGGCCCCGTTGACATCTTTAGGGAGGACCCAGCTGGTCGGATAATTTATACTCACCAAAAAACTTTGGTGATGTACTGTTGAAGGCATCAGAGCTTAGTGTTCAACCATTAACATGGCAATAAGTCTCTTCATAAGGTTTTTAAGGCCACCGGAATTCTCCAGTGATGCACATAGGGAAGCAACGGAGAAAAGACAGTTGCCTAGAAGTTTTCATGAGAAGGTTCAGAGGGCACCGGATTACTCCGGTAGTGCACCAAACAAAGCATGAAAGAAAAGGCTGGCCCAATGGTCGGCAATGGCCGGCACTAGAAAACTCCGGTGGGGTTACCGGAGCTTTCTTATGAGCGTTGCTCGTGAGTGAAAGGATCTATGGATGGCTAGAGAGGCGTGAGTAGCCTAATTAAATTTTCTACAAGCTTACAAACACTGTCATTGGTGGTCATTTCTAGGTGAATGACAATGTGATTCATGAAAATCTGATTTGAGTTTGATCCAAACTCAGGGTTACTAGAGGTTGTGCTTGGGCTCCTCAAATTGGTGGAGAAGCTGGATCCAACCTTTAGCCCCTCGAGCTCCTTCTTGGAAGCTCCTCCTCCGAGCTCCAAAATGTTTAGGGAGAGAGAGCTCCTCCCTCTTCTATCCCCCAACCTCTTGTTGTGAGCAGCTCCTAGATGCTCTCCATGGCTTCTAGCAGCTGATGATGGCCTCCAATCCCTGCTCCTTCCTCCTCCCTTACCTTCTTCTTGCTCCAAGTGTGTGAGAGTACGTGTAGAGAGAGTGAGATGGATGAGAGTGGGAGTGTGAGAGTGGTCTGGTGCTCTGGTGTGTGCTTCTCATGAGCTGGACAGTTGAGTTGACTTGTGGAGGCAAGGGAGCTCCACAAGTGATAGCTCAACTCTGTGCATGTCATGTTCTGGCAGACAATCTGTCAAAACAAGATATGGTCTGACAAACTATAAGTCTGAAATGTTTCAGCGAAACGTTCCACGAGTGTGGCGGATGATCCGCTGGGACATGTAGTGCCTAGAATTATTCAGATTCTTCACATTTCAGTTTCTAATTTTTGGATTTCAAATGCAAATGATGCTCATATAATGATGATAATTATGAACAAGTCATGACCGGGTCATGACACTAATTACCCGCTCATGGTGTTACAAGCGTAATGCATCGCCTTTCAGCTCCTGTAGAGTATAACTGGAGAAAAAATAAACACCTCACATCCCTAGGGTTGAGTGACCTTTCATACAACTGTGTTACAAGTCAAGTACAACATACGTATGTGAAATTGTAACTGTCCGTGTCCGGGTAGCACGTACCTCGAACAAGGTAAACTCTGCCTGTCTTGATGCCAGGCCATTTCTCAACATGTCTAGCTGAATGTTACCTACTCATGTTGTCCTGGTTATTCTCATGTATTCTATCCCATGTATCCTTGCTGGTCGTCCTCTATCTACAAATTTCCTAATCACAGGATCTATCCGGTGCCTGAATTCGACCTGCTGTTAACATGACACGTCTCATCTCTCAGGATTAGTTGTAGAATGAGCCCGTTGGTTTCAGACTTTCTTCGTGTTGCGTATGCTCGTGGAACAGAAAGAGTAATGTTTCAGGTGCGAAGGGAGCTCACGTTTTGTGTGCACCCAACGATGAAGAGTGCAGGCTTGGGACTCTGGATGCTTTGGTTTGGCCAGGTATGCCACGCACGCACTGATCGGTATAGCAAAGGTGCCAGCTAAAAACAGCTGGACTTTGTTAGAGCCGTTGCTTCGAAACAAATACAGCTACTGTTATTGCTGAGCTGCATTCTGACGTCTTTTGCGTGCGGCCGACAGAACTTGCATCTTCAGTCCCTGTGATAACACATAACATAATAACCCATTTGTTTTCATAATTTTATACTCCCTCTGTAAAAAGGGCGTACCCAGTGCAGAGAGCTCCCGCTCTGTACGGGGTCTGGGGAAGAGTGTTAGTGGCAAGCCTTACCTCGCTTTGTGCAATGCGAGGAGACCATGACTCGAACCCGGACCTTCCGGTCACAAAGGCGGTGAGACTCTATCATTATGCCAGTTGCCCCTTCTTCTATACTCCCTCTATCCCAGATTAAATCAATTTCTACTGTTGTCCTAAGTTAAACTATTTTAAGTATGACCAATTTTTTATAGAAAAGAGCTGGCAAATATTTATGACACCAAATTAATATAACTAGATCCATCATGAAATATATTTTCATAATTTACTTATTTGGTGTCATACATGTTATCTTTTTCAATGTTTATTTGTCAAATTAAGATAATTTGACTTAGGTGCTTCTAGGAATTAATTTATATTGAGATCGGAGGGAGTATCAAATTCGTGTCAACCATGCGTTCCAAGGATGAGGTGCATGCAATAGCCATTGATGATGCTTATACCTCAGCCCATTTATGTTTCTGCCAAGGCTTGCCAACTGAGCCTATCGGGCCAGAAATTTTTAGGCCTTCTCAAGTAATTAAGCCATTGAATCAAGATCCAGTTTGAATCAAGGCCTTGCCAACTGAGCCTATCGGGCCAGAATTGCTGATGTTATTTCCAAGGTCCTCTCCCAGGATAACTGCAACACCTTTTCTTTGAAGAATGCTGGTATCGAGGTAAGCTGCTCTAGACTTCGGAAACGGCTTGCTGCTCAACAGTAAAGTTCAGCTGGCCTCACCGAAGGAAGGCAGAAAACACTAAAAGGGAGTTTGAGGAGTTCAAGAAACAGCAACACTAGGAGAACAATAAGCTCCGTGAGCATATCATGCTCTTAAGCGCTGGTAACTCTCAGTCTTGGTGATACAGTGAACATGTGTTTTGTTTGCTGTTTTGACGTGCACTAGTGCGGCGACTTGATATGTGAATTTTGTCAGTGGTTTGTTGCTGAGCTGAACTGCTGTTATTTGATTTAGGTTCAATATAATTATGTATGTAGTCATTTTGTGCAGCAGTGTTGATCTAAAATCATTTAATTTGATGTAATGATTGGTGTGCACGTGGTAGATCCGGCACATGCCAAGTCGTTAAATAAAAATCTGACACGTGGACAAACCAGTGAATGACACGTGTAAAAGCCAGGACAAGACATGTGGGCCAATACAAACCAAATACATGGTACAAATCCGTCCTGCCACGTGGTCGAATAAAAAAAAGACGCGTGGGTAATTCAGGGCGCGACATGTGTCCTAATAAAATACTAACATGCGAATGCACAACATTGTGACACGTGGTCGAGTAAAAGAAAGACACGCGGGGTATTGTGATCACGCCACGTGGACCAATAAAAATACGACACATGGTCCAATGAAGAAGTGACACCTGCTCCAACCGAAACGCGACACGTGTGCCAATAAAAACTTGACAAGTGGAACAACTGGGACCCGACACGTGGTCCAGTTAGATCCTGAAACATGCAAGGAAAAGGAAGTGCCACGTTGTCCAATAACTAGGTGACACATGACCCGAACCATCTCCAA